TCGTTACGCCCGTCACCCCCGACAGCTCGCAGACGCGGGGCGCGCTGCGATTTGAAGGCGCCGAGGTCCTCCGCATCGTCTCCCATGCGGCCCGTGGATCCTTGACCCCAGCCCGCGCCCTGCAGCTTTATGGTCGGCGGCACTGTTGCTCAACGTGCGGCTCGGGGCATGGTCCCACGGATTCCTCGGGGGGGGGGGGGGGGAAGAGGGGCCGGAGGGGCATGTGCCCGCAGTGCCCGTCGTCGCCGTGGCACACGTCCCCTGTGATCTGCAGAGTTGTTTCGCCTGTGTGTTGTAACCGCCCGCAGTTCCGCCCCTTGTATCATGCCTGCTGCGCGCGCAACCGGACGCACGTTTCAACACTTTGCATTGGCCTCGCTGTGCTGCTGGGATGTCGCATCTACTGCTCCTCGCTACAATGTTAGACGCGCTAACGGCGATGTAGGTAGCGGCGATGTAGGTTTCGGTATGGTGGGTGGGGTGAGGTCGTGGCCGAACGAATTGTAGGAATGCGACATTTGCTCTTTCCTGCGATTCGCCATGTAGTCCTAATTCGGTACATCGGCGAATTGTCAATGTAGGGAAGCATGTGTCGTGATTTCCGACACTTTGGTCTGCGAGAAGTCGGCGTCGCAGAGACATATATTCCCAACATCACCATTGACCATCCGCGCGGCCTTCGTAAACAACCTGTCCTGTTCGTCGCCGTCGCTGACGCGGATGCGCGGCGCCTTCTCCCGCGCGTTCTCTGCGGTTCCTCGGCGGCTTCGCGGCGCCCCGCCCGAGGCCTCTGCGCCCCGAAGAGGTCAAAGCGCAGGTGTTTCGCTGTTGTCGGCATTCGAGGTTGTTGTCGGGCTCTGGGACCAATTTAACAAGCAATCCCGGTCGGACATCTGGCCCATTAAAGAGAGGGGCGAGATGCCTGGGGTGACAGACCGTGTGGTGACTTTAAGATCCCCAAGAAGCCCTCACAACACGGTCCCTTACTGCACGCTGCTGGGACCTCGGGGGCCACAGTCGCCTGAGACATCCTCGGAGAACGACCCGAGACCGTGCGGTCACCCCGAATTCCCACCACCTCACCACACGGTGTGGTCACCGCACCGTATGGGGGCCCGAGAGAGCTCCTGGGGACCCCGCTCTGACGAGACCACGACGTCAGAGGCTAGAGGAACAGTCTGCAAACATGCTTGAAGTTTCCTGGGCCTTCTGTCAGCTTCTCGTGGCCATGTTTGGATACCCCTCTAAACTCTTTTCGAAGCGCGCGTGGGGAGAAGTCCGAGCGGGGGTCAATCTTGAGGGAGGTTCCCAGATCTCCAGCGACGCAGACAAGCCGCGACGGCCAGTTGTTCTACATTTGCGGCGCTCGTCGGGGGCGGCCGAGAGGGGGGTGCGATGACCAAGGGGGGTGGATCTCACGGCCGGGGCCATGATCTCCCCGCGGACTCCATGCCCCCCCTCTTCTTGTGTCAATGCGGTCGGGCCAAGACGTAAGATGGAGATCGGTTCGGGGAGGGTGTTCAGTCCCAGACCCCCTACGTCATGATTTTTTCATGACGCGACCCCCAGAGGTCCAGACCCATTCCCCGGGGCCGGTTTTTCACCCCGAGTCGTTTTTTGACGGTAGCGAGGCCAGGTGAGGGCCCCCGGAGGCCGAAAATGAAGGAAAACCTTCCGTCGTGATTTTTTCATGACTCGAGGGGGTCTGGGGTTGTCATCGGGAGGGTATATGTCCTCGAGTGCGTTTCGGCTTGGCCGGCGGAGGGCCTCGTGCCCCTGACGGGTGTCCTCGGCGCGTCCCTTGGCCCCCCCGGGGCCGCGCGCGTGCCCCGGGCCATGCGCTGCGGCCCGTCTTCTCTCGGACGCCCCCCCTCCTCCTTCGGGTCGGGCGACCCGGACCCCCTCGAGCCATGAAGCAATCACGACGGGAGGTTTCTCACTAGTTTCGGCCTCTGGGGACCCGGCCCTCGGGACCGTCAAAAAACGACTCAGGATGAAAAAAGCCGGTCCCGGGGAATGGGTCCGGACTTCTGGGGGTCGCGTCGTGAACAAATCATGACGTCGGGGGTCTGGGTTCGGGTCGGGCGAAAGGGGGGGGATTGGGAAAGGGGGGGCTACGAAATTTGCTGCATGCGGCTGGTTTCGGCCCCACCCATGGGGGCCCACTCCTCGAGGCACGGCCGCTCCCGGCGCTGGGAGGCGCCGGGAGAGTCCGCTCCGTGAGCTGATTCTCAAACCCCCCCCCTTTGCTGCCCCCCCTTTCGCCCGACGCGACTCCTAAGGAGGCCCCCTCCCCCCGCCCGTGGCCGTGCTGGCTCCGGCTCCTCTTGGGCCTGCCGCGCGGCCGCATGGGCCTGCCGCGGGCCCTCGCCGACGCCCGCGTCCCCGCGGTGGCGGCGCTCCTGTCGTGCGCCGTCCTCGCCCACTGCCTCTGGGCGGCCGGCCTCAGTGGAAGGGGCCGCCCGCGGCCAGCGGCCTGGAGCCTCGCCGGGCGCAGGCGCTGCGGGCATGGGCCGGCCGGACGAGAGGGGGGCAGTGGGGACGGGGGAAGGGGGCGAACCCAGACCCCCTCGAGTCATGAAAAAATCACGACGGAAGGTTTTCCTTCATTTTCGGCCTCCGGGGGCCCTCACCGGGCCTCGGGACCGTTAAAAAATGACTCGGGGTGAAAAACCGGCCCCGGGGAATGGGTCTGGACCTCTGGGGGTCGCGTCATGAAAAAATCATGACGTCGGGGGTCTGGGAAGTCTGCTGCATGCAGCCGGTTCTGGCCCCGCCGCCGGGTCCGTTCCTCGATGTGAATGGGCGCCTCCCGGCGCCGGGAGGCGCCGGGGAAGTCCGCTGCGGGAGCCGGCTTCGGCTATACGTCAGAGTGACCGTTCGCCGGAGTGACCTTCGGCGCGGGCCCAACGGGGTCCCCCCCCAGACCCCCGACGTCATGATTTTTTCATGACGCGACCCCCAGAGGTCCAGACCCATTCCCCGGGGCCGGTTTTTCACCCCGAGTCGTTTTTTGACGGTCCCGAGGCCCGGTGAGGGCCCCCGGAGGCCGAAAATGAAGGAAAACCTTCCGTCGTGATTTTTTCATGACTCGAGGGGGTCTGGGACGGGGTCCCCCTGCTGCGGGCCAGGCGGGGCTGGCTGGGGGGCGCCCGGGGGGCAGGCCTTCGTGGGCGAAGCCGGTCGCGGTCTTCGTGCAGGTGGGCAACCCGTCGGTGTGGCCTCCCCTGCAGGAGTGCTTGACGAACGTGCTGATCGCGGCGGGCTCGGCCGCTCCTCCTCGCCGAGTGGACGTCTATGTGGGCAGACCCGGTAGGGTGCCTGGCCAGAGGCAGAAGGCCATCCAGTCGGGGGCGGAAAAGAGGGGGGTGATGGCTATGGGGGGGGGGATACCATGGCGCGGGCCATGATATTTCCCCAGATCTCATGGCGCCTCTTCTTATTTCATTACGTCCCTGGCCCCCCCGCTGGGCCGCGCACACGCCGCTGGTCATGATTTGCACCCCCCCCTCTTGGACACCCCCCTCTTGGCCGCTCCCGATCCAGAAGATGGTTGACGACGCCGCCAGTTGGGTGCAAAACTGGTCGGGGGCCCAGCTTCATATGAATATGTCGCTGGCGTAACAAGGGCGCCGACACGGGCATCTTTTTCCAGCAGGTGTTGGCTTTGAGCGACCCTTCGAGATACGACATGCTGCTGAAGCTGCACACGAAGTCCGACGCGCGCTGGCGTTGCACCATGCTGATGTCGCTCTGTGGGAGTTCGGAACAGGTCAGCAAGATATTGTCGAGATTTGATGGGCAGCCAGACCTTGGAATAATAGGCCCGTGGTCACTAACATGGACGTGGGATACACCAGTAGAGGAGACTTACGAGAAGAAGGGGGGCAATGCCTTTACAATGCTCGACGGCCAGAAACAAATGGAAGACTATATGAAAAGGGTGTGGGCCGACATATTCCAGAACAGTAGTTTTCCTGCCCGCGATCAGTACCTCATGGCCGCAGGTTCTATGTATTGGGCACGCTCCGCACCGCTATTGGAAAATGTGCAGTTCAGGGATGCAGCTTCTCGATGGATTGAATCATGGACCACGAAGCCCTACAAGACTGCGTGCTCAGAAGATGTTTGTTTACAGTTATATGCACTGGAGCGGATCATGCTAACAATGATCCAGGCACGATATGGTTTTGTTGGTGCAGAGGCGCCAGACAAATACGGCTTGGATAAGAGTAATCGAGCATATCGGCTGACATTTCGAGAACATGGATGGAACACTGACAAGAACAGATACGTGTGCCAGCGATTGTCTGCGAATCGTTGACCTTTTTCCCTACCTAGGCTCTGCCTAGAAGGGTTCTTACTCTCTTAGCTTAAAGGGGCCGGGCAGTGGAAAGCGCCCCGGGCGGTTCCCCCGGTCCCCGCCCCGCGGTTCCCCCAGTTCCCGGGGAGCTTTAGCTTTAGCTTTAGCTTTAGCTTAGCTTTAGCTTAGCTTTAGCTTAGCTGTAGCTTAGCTTTAGCTTAGCTTGAGCTTAGCTTGAGCTTAGCTTTTCGCTTAGCGTTTAGCTTAGCTTTAGCTTAGCTTGAGCTTAGCTTGAGCGTAGCTTTTCGCTTAGCGTTTAGCTTAGCTTTAGCTTAGCTTTAGCTTAGCTTTAGCTTAGCTTAAGCTTAGCTGTAGCTTAGCTTTAGCTCAGCTTTAGCTTAGCTTTAGCTTGGCTTTAGCTTAGCTTTAGCTTAGCCTTAGCTTAACTTTAGCTTAGCTGTGGCTTAGCTTTAGCTTAGCTTTAGCTTAGCTTTAGCTTAGCGTTACTGTTACTACTAATGCTGCTTTCCTAGGGGTTCCAACTCCCAGGTAGGGTCGCACTGGGATAATTAAGCTTACATTGCGCACGCCAACAAATCATGTCCCCAGAAAGCCTTCCGGGGACATGGCTTCATGGGCCCGAGAGTTTCCGGAGGCTCTGAAGTAGCATGACGCTACCAGAGAGCTGTCTGGGAAGTTGCTTGAGAACGTGACTGATCGCCTTCTCGCGGCCCTCTGCGGATCGTTTCGCACAAAGGTGCCCCGAGTGCCCTCTTGAACCGCATGGTAGCACCCAGGGCGTGTTCCCGTTTCTCCGGACCCTGGGGCCCGAGTCTGTGACTTAGTGATCGGCTTCAGCCGGTCCTACGAAGGGGGCCAGGAGGTCCTCGTGAGGAGATTCAGAAGCGCTTGATGGATCTCGGGAGGCGTCCATCCGTCGACGACGACGACGAAGACGACGAAACGACGAAAAGGACGACGACGACGACGCGCTTCAAGAGGCGACGACGACATCACGGCGACGACGAAGACGACGACGACGACGACGACGGCACGCCCCAACAGGCTCCCCAAGACCCCCAAAAACCATGCTCCCAGAAGACCTTCTGGGAACCCGATTCATCAGGCCTCCGCCCCCCTACGAAACCATCTTTTCCGAAAACCTTCAGGAAGACGGATCGACACGCGTGGCGCTCTCAGTGCCCATGATGCGTGTGGCCTTCTGGACACTGCTTCATGCCCCGTTCCAGCCTTCTGCGGCTCACTTCTTCAGTGGAGCAGCGAACTCGTCGAGGCCCAGGGGCCTTCTTCTTCTTGTTGTTGTTGTTGTCGTTGTCTTTCTTCTTCTACTTCTTCGAACAACGGCTACTGTCCTTCCCTCCCCCCCTCCCTGCTCCCTCCGACCAGTGGTGTCTGCTGGATCCAGTTCGCACTGCCAGACGAGCAAGATTGTCGGTCTGATTTGTTCGCCCGTCGCGCCAAGGCCTCTCCAGGGCCCCAGGCCTCGCCCGAACACGCGGCCCCAGGGGCCCGAGGCCCCCGGGGGCCCGGGGCCCAGGGCCCGAGAGCGCGCGTGAGAGGACCCGGGCCTCCGAGGCCGCTCCCAGAGCACCCCGCAGGGGCAGTGTGGAGCCCCCAGACTGCCCCAGAGCAGGGCTCGTTTCGACACCTCCGATTCGATTCGATTCGATTTCGATGGCTTCCGATTCCGATTCGATTCGACTTGGGATTCCGATTTGGGTTCCGATTTCTTATTGAAGGCCTACTAGCCTGCCGATTTCCGCCGATTCGACTTTTTCCGACTCGGCTGCCGATTTCCGCCGATCCGATTCATGTCGATCGCCGATCCGACTTATCGATTCGATTCTGCGCTCTCCTGCAGAGTGCTCCAAGACGCTCCAGGAGCCCCCGGGGGACTTTGACAAGCCCCTCCAAGACAGCCCAGATGGCCCCAACGTGGCCCAAGATGGGCTCCAGACCGCAAGTGCACAGCCCAAGAGGCCTCCAAGCGGCCTCGAGAGAGCTCCGAGAGGCGTCCCGAGAGAGCCCGAAGAGGCCCATACCCTTGATTTTCAATGTTTTTGTTGCATGTGTTTCGCTTTCTCTCGTTTTCGAGCTCCCGACGCTCCAAGACGGCCGACGACGCCCCCAAGTCCGCCCCAAGACCGCCGAAGAGGCCCCCCCCAGAAGAGCCCCCAAGACGGCCCCGGAGAGCCTGCAGAGTGCCCAGGAACAACCTCAGACGGCCCAGGAGAGCCCCGGGACAGGCCCAAGCTTGGCCACAGAGCTGGAGCGGGAGGCCCCAAGACGGCCCACCTGGCCCCAACGTGGCCCCAGATGGGCCCAACACGGCCAGTACACAGCCCAAGAGGCCTCCAAGAGGCCCCACGAGAGCTCCGAAAGGCGTCCCGAGAGAGCCCGAAGAGGCCCACGTCCTTGATTTCTGGTCGTCGTTTGTATGTTTTTCGCTTTCTCGCGTTTTCGAGCTTCCAACGCTCCACGACGGCCGACGACGCCCCAAAGATCGCCCCCAAACCGCCGAGGCCCCCAAAAGAACCCCAAGACGGCCCTGGAAATCCTGAAGACTGCCTGAGAGCAGCCCAAGACTGCCCAAGATAATCCCAGGGGGGGCACAAGATGGGCCCCAGAGCGGGAGCGGGAGGCCTCAAGGCGCTCCAGGGCGGCCCAGATGATCCCAACGTGGCCGAAGAAGAGTTCACGACGGCAACCACACACAGCCCAAGAGGCCTCCAAGAGGCCCCAAGAGAGCTCCGAGAGACGTCCTGAAAGAGCCCGAAGAGATTTTTGTCCAACATGTTTTTCGCTTTCTCGCGTTCTCGAGCTTCCAATGCTCGAAGACGGCCGAAGACGCTCCCAAGACCGCCCCAAGACCGCCGAAGACGCCCCCAGAAGGGACCCAAGACGGCTCCAGAGAGCCTGCAAATTGCCCGCGAGGAGCCCCAGGCGGCCCAAGAGGCCGCAGGACAGGCCCAAGATGGGCCACAGAGCGGGAGCGGGAGGCCCCAGGGCGCTCGAAGTGGCCCAGATGGCCTGGGCCTCCCCCCTCCGTCCCTCCTTCCCTCCCGCCCCCTCCCCTTGCCTCCATTCCCTCCTCTCTCCTCCTCCTCCTCCCCTCACCCCTCAGCTTTCGTGCTCCTCCCTCCTCTCTTGGGACGGCCCCGCCAGAGCGCCAGGCAGGCCTCGCCAGAGCGAGCGGGGCACCGCTATACCCTATCATTTCACAAGTTGCTTTGCCCATCCCACTCCTCAAGGGCGGCCCCGGCAGAGCGAGAGGGGTGTTGCTGTACCCTATACAGCCCCTGTTCTGTGTTGTTCCTCCCACCGGAAACGAGGTAACCCTGCCTGAGCGCACGGGGTGTGGCTATACCATACTTTTCCACAAGTTTCGTGCTCCTCCCTTCCCTCCTGGGTAAGCCCCGCCAGAGCGCCAGGGAAACCCCCGTCAAAGAGAGCGGGACATCCCTTCACCATATTATTTCACGCGATTGTTGCTCCTCCCGCCATTGCAACTCGGACCCGCCCGAGCGAGCGGGGTGCGGCTATACTATACACTTTCAGAGGTTTCGTGCCCCTCCCCCACCTCCTGAAAAAGGCCTCGTCAGAGCGCCAAGAAGGTACAGCCATAGGCCCCGTCAGAGCTCCAGAGAGCCCCGTACATGAGACTAGCTAGGCGAATCATTAAGCTTCCCCCGGGACATCCGCGCGCGCCCTTTGCAGATACCCGACAGCTGAACGACCGCTGAGGACGAGAAGCATGGAGCACAAGGAAGAGGAACAAAACACAGCGCGCTCCCACGCGCGCGCAACGAGGCCCCGAACCAACCCCAACATCAGGAGCCGGTGGATGACTGCGCGATCGGGCATGGGGAGACCGAGCAGATGCGCAAACACATTGAGTGTCACGACGGGGCAGAGCGGAAGTGAACGTGGAGAAGCGAGATTGTGAGATACGCGCGAATGGGGCGCCCCACGTTCTGGTTTCGCGTTTCATTGCGTCGATGGCATGGGCCCGAGACTGGAAATCGTCGCTGTGGCCACAGCGGCGCTCACACCGGCAATCGTGGCTCATCTGCGACTAGAACCCAGACGGGCGCGTAACTCGCGCGTGGTTAGATGTATGTATGTATGTATGTATGTAGGTATGTATGTATGTATGTCTGTGTGTGTGTGTGTGGATGGATGGATGGATGGATGGATGGATGGATGGATGGATGGATGGATGGATGGATGGATGGATGGATGGATGGATGGATGGATGGATGTATGTATGTATGTATGTATGTATGTACGTACGTATGTATGTATGTATGGATGTATGTATGTATGTATGTATGTAAGTATGGATGCATGTGTGTATGCATGCATGTATGCAAGTACGTACGTAAACAAACATGAATGTATCCATGCATGTGTGGTTGTGTATAAACACACCTACACACATCTATACATATGTGTATACGTTATTCCATATATATACATTCATTCCCGTGTTCCAAGACGCCGAAGATTGTTCCAAGACTGCCTCCGGGAACCCCCACGACGGCCCAAACGTCTCCCAAGAGGACTCCCAAGAGCGCCACCAGAAACACAAATGGCCCCATTCTGTTTGGAAAACGTAGATTTTCACGACATCCACATCTTCGCTTCGACCGCGTCGAACACGGCCCCAGGAGCCGACAACATCGCCCCAAAACGGCCAAAGAGAGTTCCAAGAGGCCTCCAAGACAGCTCCGGCGGAGCCCTCGACTATCCAGGAGGCCCCCAAGACGGCCCCAGAGGGCCCCCGCTGAAGCCTTCTCGGGGCTGGCCTGGCGCAGGCTGGAACCCTTCGGAGGCCGTTCGCAAGGCATTTTCGGCGATTTCGATGTGTGATGGAGGGATCTGGTACATTGTTGTACCAATGTGTGTGCCATTTGTGCGCCCACGGTGCCATCTTGGGGGCCACGAGGGCGCCCCTGGGGTCACTGGGATGCATGCGTACCCGGGGCCGTGATCTTGAACTCGCCCATGGACCAAGGGAAACTCAAGATGGCCGAGTCCAATGAACCCACACTGATGTCCAACGCCCCCGAAAGCCCCAAGAGATGCCCAGTACGGTTCAAACATAAAGATGTCCCGCGACGCTTCTTCGACGGCCCGAGGAATGCCGAAACGGAGTTTAGGAAGCGCACGTTGTCCCGAGAGGTACCCAACACGCCACAAGCTCCCAAATTATTGCCCTGCACTTACTCCTCCTTTCCTTCGTCGTGGTCGTCGTCGTCGTCGACGTTCTGTCGTCTGCGTCGTCGTCCTCGTCGTCGTCGTCACCATCGAGGAAGGCCCGATATTCAACACGCACCAATAAGGTCCAAGATGTTCCTCGAGGGGACCACAGAAGGCCCAAACTTGCTCCATTTCCAAGGGACAATGTACCTGTTCAGCATATTCGCCTTTGGGGTCTCAAGAGAGACCCCAAGATCGCCCCAAGACAGCCCAACAGGTCCCCAAGAGGTCCGCAGGAAGGCGCAGGAGGGCCCCTGAACGGTGCATGAGGGTCCCAAATGGAAGTGTTCCCGACCGCCTGAAAGGCCCAAAAGACGCCCAAAGAGGGTCCCAAGAAGACCCCAAAGAGGTATCCAAGAACGGTATGTTGTCCCCACTTATTCGGGCAAACCTACATGTTCAACATGTTCGTTTTTTGGTCTGAACAGCGTCCGCGACGGCCCAAGAGGCTCCCAAGATCGCCCACAGATGGCCCAAGACGGCACCAAGACGGCACCAAGACGGCCCAAGAGGGTCCCATGACGACCCAGAAGGCCCCCAAGATGGCCCAAGAGAGCCCGAAAAGGGATCCAAGAGATGTCCAAGAGGGAGAAGGCGAACTGTCATTTCGAGCCTTCCACCCCTAGATGACCCGCGAGACCTCCAGAAGGCCCCCAAATGGCGTCAAGACTTAGGGCACCCGGCGAATCCAGCCACTGCCCCTGGAGGCCCTTGGGTGACCCAGAAGTGTTCCGATATGTAGCAGTAGGGGTCTGATGTTGCACAACGAGAGTCCAAGAGGTCCATAGTGGTTTCCAAGATGCCGCCCGAAGCGTCGCTTGAGAGTCATGAGAGGTTCCCCAGAAGGGCCATCTCAGTTTCATAAGGAGTTCTGTTTTATTTGGTCGGTCGTCAGAGATGGCTCCAGGAGCCCATGGGAGCCCCAGGGGAGTCTCCGAGATGCCGCCCGGAGGGTCGCTGGAGAGTCACAAGAGGTTCCTTAGAAGGGTCGCTCCAGAGTCATACGGATGTCTGTTTTGTAGTGTCTGTAGTCAGAGATGGCTCCATGAGCCCATGGAAGCCACAGGAGGTATCCTAGCTTCACCGTCCCTCCTTACTCCCTCGCCTCTCGTCTTTCCCAGTTTCTCCTCTCTCCTCTCTTCTTCCTCCTTGCTGTTCCATCCCGCCTCCCGTCTTCCCTTTCCTGCGTCCCTCCGTTCCCCTTATGATGGCTCGCGAGATTCCTGATAAACCTTACGTCTGGAGTCGCTCTTTCCGTCGTCCGACCTAAGTGTCAGACCGTCGGTTCTTTCTGCGTGCCCCGTGCCTCTCTGGACACTGCTGCGACTGAGGGCGGACAGCGCGACACGTGCATCGTAGAGCGAGATTCCTTACTGGTTCAGTCAGGTATTGATTGTCCAGAGCGGATCATGCAGCTGCATGACTCCACGACCACCCGTCGGGTGAAAAAGAGGTGGGGGGGGGGGGCAGGGACCAACGCCTCACTCAATCGATATCTCTATCGATCTCACCCAACCGATGTCATTCAATCGATCTCATCCAATCGGTCTCACAATCGATGTCACCACGGGTCTCACTATTGAGCCCACTATCGATCATCTCACAGTTATTCCAATCATCGGTATCACTGCAGATCTGGTTATCGATCTCACAATCGGTTCCATAATCGATCTCACGATCGGTCTCGCAGTCGATGTATCTATTGATCTCCTTGTCGATCTCGCTCAATCGATCACACTGCCGATCTCACTGACGATCTCTCAGTCGATTCCAGAACAGGAGACAATGGACCTCACTATTGATTTCAAAATTGAAATCACTCTATCGATCTCACTGTCGATTTCACTATCGAGTTCACTGTCGATCTAAACATCGATATCACGATCGATCTCACGATCGGTCCGAGTGCCGAACTCACTATCAATCTCACGATCGATCCGATGCTCTCTTGGGCTGTGGTGGCGCTCTGTTTGGGCTCTCTTGGGCCATTTTGAGGTTCTTTGCAGGCTCTGGAAACCTAGGGGGTGCGTTGAGCAGCTCGTCTACCCCCCCGAGCCCCGCCCCTCTTTAATGCGATGTTGGACCCCTGAGGAGGGGGCAAATGGGAGTGGGCACGCCCCGTGCCAGGCATGTTCCGAAAAGGGCGCGGGGGCGCCATGCACAGATACCCGTTCTGGAGCAGGATTCGCGTGACAGGTGTGCCGACGTGCCGACATAGGCGGGGGGAGGCGTTGTTCGAACCTTCCGGGCCTTTAATCAGGTGGTGCTCCTTGTGGGCATGACCCACGTGGCGGGGTGTACCGCCACGGCGGGAGGGGGGGCGCAGTGCGAACCCTGCTTCGGGGGCAGTGGGTGGAGATCCCTGTGTGCCACGATCACGATCCGTGTGCGAGGTGTGCCGAAGTAGGCGGGATGGCGGGATGCGAACCTTGTCTTTGGGGCCGTCCGTGGATGTCCTCCGTGCGGGCCACGATCCGTGTGAGAGGTGTGCCGAAGTGAGCGGGCCGATGTTATGAAGATTCCCTCTGGTGCCGCAGATGCATTTAGTTGCGGGGCACGGCCCGCGTGAGGGGCGTGCCACTGTGTGAACCTCGTCTCTGGGGATGTAATCAAGTGGGCCCTCCTGTGGGACGCGATGCCTGTGAAGGGTGTGCCGGCATGGGCGGGGGGACCCTCAGCCGAGCCCGTCTGAGGGGCCGCAGGTTGAGCCCCCTGAGGTGCACGATCCTTGTGACAATATATGTCCTCCGATGTCGAACACTTTAGGCTACAATTGGAGCTCGCTGGAACCTAAGCGCGCGCGAAGCGAGCGCGTGGTTCTAGTGATCTACATCAGCCATTCCCTTTTTATGCTGTTCGCATTTGGGCTCTCTACCTTGGAATGCTCTTTTGTTTCGGTGTACCTCCATAGGGCCGTGGGCCTTGGCGACAGGGCTCGCGCTCTTGGGATGCGCTGTTGTGGCTGAGCTTCCCTGGGACGCGCCAAGGGCGCAGCTCGAGGTGCGGTCAGGACCAGTGCCGACCCGACGACTCCGCGCGGACCTCCAACATTTTGTGTATGGGTGGTGTTTGGCCGCTGCCAGCTTTAAGTCGGGCCTGTCCCTCTACAGAAGGGATGTTCAAAAATGCTCAAAAATAGTATGGGGACGATGTTTTGACAATTTTTGAATACATGTTTGAAGTTTTTAAAAGTATTTCTGATTTTTTCCTCCAAGCTCCCCCTGTGGGGGGACAGGCCCGACGTAATGCTAGCTGTTCCGAGTCCTCCCTCCTCCCCGCTCCGCCTCCCTCCCAGAGCGCCTGGCTCCTCGTCCCGCCCCTCCTCCTCCACCCTCCCTGGAGTCCCCGGCCTTGCGAGAGCTCTCGGAGGGCGGAACCGGCGAAGAGTTTCCCGTCGTGTTCCTTCACGCCGCGAGAGGGGATGGGCTCTTCTTCCTCCCTGGAGCGGGCGGTTGTGCATGGGCGCTGGGCCCCCCTCCGTCGCGGGCGCCCCCCTTACCCCCTCCACTTCATCCTCCTCTTCCCCTTCCTCCCCCTCTTCCTCCCTCCTTCCCTCCCTCCCTCCCACGTCCTCCCTCTCTCTGTTCCTCTTGCCTCTCCCTCTCCCAACCAGCCCAGCACCGCCCCGTCAAACCACTCCCAGAGGTGCTCGTCTCACTGCTGCTGCTGGCCCTGCTTGGGCAATCCAGCGCATCACTCTGCAGCGCGGTGGCCCGGGCGCAGTCCAGCACCTCGCTCCCCCCCCCGGGCACCTCTTCCCTCCCCCTCCTCCTTCCCCTCCCGGACCTTCCCCCCCCCCCTCTCCCCCGCCATGCCCCTCGCCGCCCCTCGCCGCCCCTGTCCTCCTGGTCCCTCTCCCCCCCCGTGGCCCCCCGGTGGCCCGGCCCCGCTGCGCCGCGGGGCGCCCCAACCCCCGCGGCCCTCCCCAGGTCGTGGGCTCGGTGCGCTCTTCGGCGGCGGCGCCGACGGGGACGACGTCCATGGTCGCCCCGCCCAGGGGGGGCAGGACGAGGTCGATCGTCGTCGTCGTCGTCGTCGTCGTCGTCGTCGTCGTCGTCGTCGTCGTCGTCGTCGTCGTCGTCGTCGTGACCGGCGGCTGAGGGTGCTCGCTCCCTGGCGAAGCAGACGGCGAGACGGATCGGCCAGTCGGCGGTCCGGTGGCAGACGCAGGAGCCAGGCGCGGACGGGATCGCCAGCGTGAAGCCGGGCCCCTCTGCAGGGGAAATGTTCAAAAATAGTCAAACAATAAGATGGGGACTATTTTTTGACTATGTTTGGGCATCTTTGGGGTGTTTTTTTGTGTATTTTTAATGTTCTTCCAAAATCCCCCTGTAGGGGGACACGCCCGATGGAGGGGATGCCGCTGGACCTTCAGGAGGCCACTGCCGCAGCCCAGGAGGAGGAGGAGGAGGTCGAGGCCAGCCAGCAGGACGGCTGGCAGGCGGCGTCTGAGGAGCCAGATGGGCAGGACCTAAGGCCCATCATCCATCAGGAGGAAAAGAAACACACAGACACAATGAATCGTCGATTCCCAGGAAATAGATTGGAAACTATGGGAAGTGGGGGGGAAGACACAAACCCAGAAAATATGTGAAAATATAGGGAATCTTTTTATTTGTGTGTATTTGTTTGTGTGTCCCAGGGCCCCTTCAATCCAGTGGATGGGCCACAACCTGGGCGACTTACGTCAGCGAGCGGGGCGGCCGAGTGTTGGCGTGCAGGGGGTGCGGCGCGCTTGGAGCCCAAGGCCACCTGCAGGTCAAGCAGAGACGCGGGGAGCTCCCGTTCCAGGAATGCCGAGGGGGAGAGCCGTGGCTGCGAGGAGCCGACAAAAGGGGAGGCAAAGGAAGGGGCTCCGCCCTCCTGCCCTCCAGGAGGGCCTGCCAGTGCGATCCCCATCGGCGGGGCCCGGAGGGACCTCGGGCAGGAGCCGGGGGAGGTCGCAGGAGGCCAGTCGGGGAGGCAGGGCGAGGAGGCACGGGCGCAGGTGCAGCCCACGAGGCGGCGGCCCCGCCTCGAGGAGTGATGGCGCACGGTGGCATCCTGCCGCCGAGGCCGTGGCGGGAGGTCGTGGAGGCCTGCGGGGTGGGCGGGGGCCGCCGCCTCGCGCTCGGGAGGCGGGCGCGGGAGGCCCAGGCGGAGGCCGCCAGAGAGGAGGCCGAGGGCCGCCCAGGAGTGGCGGCGGCGAGGGTGTGCGCAGGGCACCGCGCTGAGGGGAGCACGCGGCCGAGGGCCAGGCGCGGAGGATGCGCCAGGCCCCAGGGCCGCCGTGCAAGGCAGGGCGGCCAGAGGTGAGGCGAGGCGAGGATGAGGGCGGCCTGCGAGGCAGGCTGCCCACGGTGGAGGAGGAGGTGAGCTGGGCGACGCGTGCGCAGCGCCCGCCGCGGTGGACCCGCGGTGATGTCTTAGACCAT